AGTGTTGATGTGCTGTGCTGCACTGCCCAGTGCCCTGAGCTGCTGTGTCAAGCATCTGAGCACCCCCAGACCCCTCCACCACCCAACAGAGGTGCCCATCCCAGCAGAAATCTCTGGAATCCTATTCCAGTCTTGGGCCTACATACAACCCAACTGTGTGGCGCCCAGGCCACGTCTGTTCAGCACTCTCAACACCAGCCTTGAGGACCTAGAGCAGGGGGCAGAGTGTGAGAAAGTAATGCTGGACTGAAACCTGCCCCTGAAGCTCTCCTCCCGCTGCTCAGCTCAGGAAGGGGGGCGGGGTGTCCCTCTTTCTACAGCTACTGGGCATCCGGGCTTGCCCCAGCCCCATCAGCAAGCATAGCCCTCCTGGTGCCTGCTGGCTCGCTGCTGGCTCGGTGGTGGCATCCTCTGCTGTGGGTCTGCGCTTTCTTCAGACCTCCCCAGACACCTCTCAGCCATGGCATCTGGCCCTCTGTTTCTGCCTCCTCCGCACAAGGCCTCCTTGACCAGAGGGCACAAGCTCCTGTCAGAGCCCTGAGCTGGCGAGCAAGCTGTTGCTCTCCGCGCTCAGGGCTGGCTCCCAGTGCTCCATTCTTGCCAGCTCCCTCCTCCTTCCCAGCGTTTCCCTGGCTCTGGCTCCCCAGGGCTCTATCCTAGGTCCTCCTTCCTGTTCCAAATAGCTCTGGAGATAGCTCATGTATCACGTGGCTTCAGCTACTGTTCCCGAACCTCTACTCCAGCTCAGACCTCTCCCTGGGTGCTTCGGAGTGCCCTGTGGGTCTCACAAACAGCTGCCACTCTGAACTCCTCCCCTTCTCCTGTTTCATCTTGGTGTCTGCCACCATCACCCACTGGGTCACCCGGCTGGGGAAGCCAGTGTCACTGGGACCTGTCCCCTCTTGTGCCTCTAAACCTGCCCCTATTGCCTGGCCTATTGTAGGAGTTTCCTGATGGGTCTACCCCACTCTAATGCATGGTGTAGTGGATGCCAGCCTGAATTCTGGTGCCAAGCTGCCTAGTTAGAATCCCAGCTCGACCCTGTGCTCGCTGTATGATCTTCGGGAAATGATTTAACTTCTCCATGCCTCAAATAATGGGATTGTAATAAATAGTAGCAGTAATTTCAGTTCTAGGATTGTTGTGAGTTTTAATTCATAAATATATGTCAAAACGGTATAGGGTCTGGTATATGGTAATTACAATAAGGTTTGTTTTAATTACTGTTATTGTTATCGTCATCCTCTACTTAGTTCACAAAAATTTTAAATGCTTACTATGTGCCAGATACATTGCTGGGTACTAAGTGCCATATGAAAAAACAACAAAAATGATTGCTGTCCCCGAGGACTTTATAGTCAAGGTAGAAGCATTTTAATAAAAGTTATTTGGAGTTACAGTTTCCCGCTCTGAGTCTTCCCATCTTAAAATAAAAGCAAAAGCAGCCCTCCCGGGTGGCACAACAGGTTAGGACACATCACTGCAAGCCAGCTGCAGCTGCTTCAGTGTGAGTTCGATCCCCGCCTGCCCCGGAGGTGACCACATGGCACAGCAGACCTCTCCTCACCCACCCACTGCCCCCCTCAGCAGTGTACTTCATCAGTCGGCCTGTTCTGCTCCCCACTCTGTCTCTGGTGAAGCCTCTCACTGCCCCTGCACCTCTAGCCTGTACCCCAGCTCTGTATAAATAACTAAATCTTTACAAAAAAAAAAAAGAACAAAAGCAAAGAAACCTGGACTCCACATCTCCTTACTTTTCCAGCACAGTTAAGCTTCCAAGTGGGCTTATTCTGTAGGTCAGATAACCACACACCAGCTCTGCACCCACGCTGGGTGGTGGAGAATCACTAGTGAACAGAAGAGATGGGTCTCCCCTCAATGAGTGTATCTTCTGGGGGGGAACCTGGACAGAAAGCAAGTACATCAACATGTGTTGATGTGTAACGTCCGTGATCCAGCAGGTGGTAAGGGTGGGGGCACGGGGTGACTGGGGTTTGGTGGTTATTCTAGATCAGGGTGTCAGGAGAGTCCTCTCTGAGGATAGAACATTTGAGCAAAGACCTGACTGAGACTAGAAGGAGAGAATCTGAGAAGATGTGGGGTGAGAGGAGGCAACAAACATGAAGTCACGTAGCAGGAGCAGGAATGGCAAGATACTGGGATACTGGAGGAATGGCAAGAGGACTCTCGGGGCTGAGTGTGCAAGACCTGAGCTTGGGGCCCTGCACTAACTTGGCATCGGTACTAGCGCGGCCTCTTTTCCCTCTCAAAGGGCCGGGGGCGCATTATATAGTTGCCCTGTGCATAGGTCATGGTAAGTAAGCAGTTGGCATTTTATTCTGGATGCGGTGGGAGGTCTGTGGATGGTTGTGAGCAGGCTTGACATGACCTGTCTGACATCCAAAGGATCGTGACCAAGCACCCGAAACGCTCTTGACTCCAAGAACATTCCCTCCTGGTGCTCCTCCACCTTCCTGGCTAGTCCTGCTCAGTCTCCTCTGGCAGCTTTCTCTTCTTCTCAGCATCTAACTCTTGAAGTTTCTCTAGACCAGTGGCTCAGGGGGTGTTTTCTCCCTCTAGGAAGTTTAGAATTGCCTAGTGACCGTTTTAATGGTCATGACTGGGGTAGCTGCTACTGGCATTTACTGGGTAGAAGCCAAGTGTGCTGGTAAACATCCTACAATACACAAAACAGCCCCGCCCAATAAAGGATTTTTCCACCCCAAAATGTCAAAAGTGCGTGGTTAAGAACCACCGCCCTAGATTAACACTGTCCAACAGAAATATAACACAAACTGCAAACACAATTAAAAACTTTCTAGTAGCCATCTTTTCAACTAAAAAGAAAAGGAGTGACATTAATTCTAATAACATGTTTTATTTCATCCACGTATGTAAAATAGCATTTCAACATGTAAGTGTTTGACTTTCTTTCTCCCTTTGAATTCTCGAGTGTATGACACAGCACACGTGACCATTCGGATCAGACACACTTCAGGTGCATAGTGGCTACGTGTGTCCTGCGGCTGCTGGGCGAGGGCAGAGTGCCAAGATTGGCACCAGACACTATCGCCTAATATTTCAGTGACACATATTAGGTAATAAAGCCTGGTGGCTGCGCTGGTATCCAGTTGCCTTTTTGAATTCTGATCCTTCCACTGACTACCTGCTCACCTTAGCTAGAGTTACTCCACCTCTCCTTGCTTCTGGTTTTCATTCGTAAAGTGGCGATGATAATAACATTAGTACTTGATAGAGTTGTCAAGAACTAAACGAGTTTACACTGTATTATAAAAGAGCTTCAGGTGTTAATAATTTGTGCTTACCAGGTGTTATCTATTTAGCTAGGCCCCTCCTCCTTGCCTCCATTCATGCTTTCTCTCTGGATAACCCATGGACTCCCAGAGTTTTAAATGCCACCTATTACGAAATGACTTCCAAATGGACTTTTTAATGACATCCAGCTTAGCCCTCTTTTCTGAGTTCCAGATCTCCTATTTCACTCTGCACCAATTTGATGGCCCACAGCATCTAACACAAATTGCCCACAAAGGAGCCTGTGACTCCCTCTGCGAATCTGCTCAGTCCTTGCCCGCCCATCGTTACACAGATACCTGGGACGCATGGTTGACTCCTGCCTTCAGGGACTGTATAGTACGTAGATCATGCAACTTTGATGTTGGCTGAGACCTGACCCTGCGTATATGTGCTCACAGAAGTGAGTGCTGACGGCTTTGGTAGAAAGAGTCCTTAGGTTTAGCTGGGGTGACCACCAGGGCCTCCTGAGAAAACACATGTTGCGGGTCCTGACTGCCCATGCCAGTGGTGTTCCAGTGTGTGTGTGAGTGTGAGTGTGTGTGTGTGTGTGTAAGCAGCAAGTGTCTGTGGTTGTGTGTGGAAGGGGACATAGGAATGTTCTTCTCCACCACCATAATTAAGGGTCCCCGGGCAGGTCTTACAGGGGATGAAAGGGCCGTTCACCCCATTTTTCCTCTGTGTCCTGTTGGGTGGACCAAAAGGGAAGTCTCCTCTAGTGTCTGACCCACCACGGCAAGGCCACTGTCCCTGGCCCCTCCTGCCCCTGACGCCTACCTTCCTTGCTTTTGACCCCGAGGGCTTCTCCAGATACTGGCCCACTCTGCCAGTGACTCCCCAAGAATTCTGAGCCTCCCTCCAGAGGCAGGGTAACTGGAGCTCCCATTGACTGAACAGTTTAGTTTGAGGAGTGTGGAAAGGAGAGTGGAGGGTGCCTCTCCCTAGCACCCTCAACCTCTTTTGAGGTCCTCAGACTTCAGGAAGTCACCCTTTCTTAGTGTTCTTGGCCTCCCAGAACAGCACTGCCTCTGTTGAACTGGAGCTGATTCTACCACCACTGTTAAGTCATGTCCTCAGGGACCTTGGTAGGAGCCATCCTGCTCAGGTGGTGAGGTCACACCTTCAGCAGACCCGTTGGGGGGGGACAGCCCAGCCTGGCAGGTCTCAGCCTCCCCCAACCCAAATCCCACTTGCTCTGGACCTCCATGACAGAAGCTGCTGATTCTCGCAGCAGATCAGATCACAGCCACCCTACCACCATCACCAAACCAGACGTATCTGCTGTCACCCGGAGGCCCAGCTGCACAGCTCTGGGGGAGGCTGGGGCATGGCAGAGCGGCAACTCCCCAGTTGGGCAGCGCCGCAGCGAACCAGGGACAGACGGGGACCTTTGTCTTCCCCGGGGGCCTCCAAGGCACCTGCCCAAGGCCACCCAGGGCGCAGCGGCGGAGCGGAGCCCGACCTCCCAGCCGTCGGTGGGGGCGGTGACCGCCCGGGGCCTTCCCACGGCTAGGTCTGCGCGTCACCGCGGGGGCGAGGGGGCGCCGGGGCGCCCGGGGCTGCGGCGCAGTAAGGGCCCTGGGAAAGGGCGGCGGCGGCGCCCCCGGGGCGGGGCCGAGGCGGGGCCGGGGCGGGGCTCGACTTCCCGGCTGGGAGCCCGCACCCTTGGGCTGAGAGCCGGCAGCCGGAGCTCGCCATGAAGCGGCCCAGGGAACCCAGCTGCTCCGACAGCGAATCCGACGGACCCATCGACGTGGGCCGGGAGAGTGAGCTGAGGTAAGGGCCGAGAAGGAGAGATGCGCGCGCCGAGGGCGAGCCGAGTGGGTGGGGGCCTGAGCGCCGGGACAGGCTCAGGAGTTGGGCGCCAGACCTCGGGTGCGGCCTCGGGAGACGCGGGTGTGGGCAACAGCCCGCAGGTGTGTGGGGGGAAGGAGGCAGTGTGTGCTGGGTGTGCCGTTCCACCCACCAGAGCCTGGGGTCCTGCGCGTTCTGCGCAATTTGGGGCTCAGGATGCTGGCATGGAGGAAGAGTTCTGCTCGCGAGTCTGACGTCCAGTTGGCGATCATCTTTCTGTCCAAGTGCCCAGGTGGGCCTACTGGCGAGGAGTTTTCCCTAAAGCTCTTAGGAAGCTCTCACAGACTGTCGGTACCACCCCCCACCCCCCTCCGGAATTTGCTGACTCTGCAGGATGAGCATACTTTCCCAATTTTACCCTTGCTCGGGTGCACTTTTCATATTAATGCACAAAAGGCTTCCAAAGAAGAAAATCTCCTTTCCCTCGAGCAAATTCCCTCGACTTTAGAATTCAGATTTTTGAAATTGAAGAAAATAATAACTGCGTTGCCTGTGATCAGTGCAAGGACTTAGACTCAGATTCCAGTGCTCTTCCTGCTGCACCTCTTGCTGCCAGTGTCTTCGTATATATTCAGACCTTTCGCATACCTGTAGAACAAACTGCATTTATGCTGTACTGCTACTTCTTCATTCTATGAACAATCTAAGTTTCTGTTTGTTCATCTGTAAAATGGGTGCAAATAATAAGACAACCTCATAGGATCATTGGGAGAATCGATTGAGTTAATGCACGCCAAGGGTTTAGAACAGGACTTAAGCAAAAAACATTTAGTGTCAGGCACCCAAACATGTGATACCCAGAACCCTGAAAGAGCATCAGGGACTGACTGGGGATCTGCAGGCATGGGTCCCAGCCCTGAATCTGCTACTAATTCTCCGCATGATCCTGGGTCTTTGCTTTTCTTTCTTAGTCTGTTTCTTCATCAGTAAAATAAAGGAAAGGGGTTGGGAAAGGGAGGGCCATCTGATCTTGGCTCATCCAAACCTAACACTCCAGATTAAATTTGGAAGAGGGGTTTAGTTCATTCTTAGGATGCTTTTGAAGATATTTCATCATTTCAGTCATCCCTAGTTTTCTGAGACCAGGGAATCCTTCTTCATTCAGAAACCACAAAAATGCCACCAGCTTCCAATTATTTATAGCTTATAATAGGAGACAATATGGCAATAGATAGTTTCCTTGCGTCCTGTACAGTAAGTTTTGGTGTGTATAACACAATTTCCTATGCAACTTATTAGCCTTTTTAATTTGCTTAGCAGGAACTGCTATTTAGAGAAGCAATTGTGGGTCTCTGTCTGCTAGAAGCAGAGGAAAGTTTCAGCACCATGTGGAATGAGGTTAAGGGTATAGAGTGTGATCTCAAACTCAGTGTCATAGGGTCTTCAAGAGTCAGAGGCACAAAGCTGACGCCAGAACACTGGGCTGATCCTACGGGGCTTCTGTCCTCCAAGAACTTGCTGCTTTGTCAGTGACATGCTGGGTCGCACAAAGCCCGTGCGGGCTGTGAGGACACCCGAGCAGAGGGGGCTTCTTGAAGGTGATGATGCCTGGGTCCCGACATAGAGGCTCCGTGGGCAGTTTTCCCTATATAGCACTTTGTCCTTTAAACCAGAGTTGGAGGGACATTTTTAGAAACTGCCTAGTGTCTTGGAGAAGCAGACCCCCTCGGAGGAGAGAAAGCAGCTGGACATCTGGCAGTGGCTGCCTTATAGACCCCTCTTTGTAGCACTCACCAAAGCACCCTCCCCCAGGCAGACATCAATGCTCCAATTCAGGGAGCGCTGAACGATGCCTGCTGTGGCCCAGACCCCGGGCTGTGTTGGGGGGCCCAGATATATCCTGCTTGGCCTCTGCCCTCGGGGAACTCTCAGAGAAGAAGAGCTTCTTGTACAAAGAAAACCAGATAAACAGTGACAAGGGCCACAGGAGCAAGACAGCAGCCTGCCCGGGGTCAGAGGCGGGCTATGAAGCACCCCCCTCCCCAACTTGAGATGTGAGAGTGAAGAGCAGGGTGCCTTCCACCATCACCCGAGGCATCTGCCTGGTGGGGGTGTCCTGCTCTGTCTGTGGGACTCACCCACAGAGCTCCTGTCTGAGCTCAGCCCTCTGACACATGCTGGGTCCCAAACGAGACCAGAAACCTCTGTCCACCCCCTCTGCAAACATGTAATGAGCACCTGTCACATGTCTTACCGGATTAGGGTCTGTGGCCACATGGTGCCTTTGAAGTCAGATAGTCCTGAGGTTTAGCGCTTACCTCCATTAACTCAGGCAAGTGACTGTACCTGTTTCTGAACCTCAGTTTTCCCCCATACAAAATGGGGTGCAAATATCTCCCTGAGTGAGGTTTTAATGAGGTGATGTACCTGAAGATATAGCTCCCTGCTGTGCCACAGGTAACTCCTAGTGAATGTTGCTCTCTAAGGGGTCACCACTCAGCTGGAGGGTGCCTGATCAGGAAGCAGAGTGGTCTGATGAAATGACTAGAAGCCTGAAGACTGGATTTATTGGGCAGGTTCTTAACTCTTGGTGTCTCTGTCATTCCATTTATCATATGATTATTTTTCCTAAAAGGGAAATGGGCCCCACAATACTTAACCCGCAGGGTTATTGTGCAATGAATGAGAAAGTAAATGTGGAAGTGCTGTCCAGAACAGAAAGTACTGGCTATGAGGTATACATAATGGGGTGATGAATTTACGGGTGTGCTGGGAAGAGCACTGGAGTACAGGCCAGTACTTGGCTCGAGTTCTGAACTTGCCCCTAATCTGCTGTGTGACCCAGAGCAGATCCTGTCCTTTCTCTGAATTTACTTATTTTACAAGCAGGCTGAGTACTCTCTGAGGTCCCTTCATTGGGGACACTGTGATTCTGCCTTTGTGGGATGCCCTATTACGGCGATCCCAAGAGGCAACTGAGGGTGAGTGTCAAAGGTAGTCAGGATTGGCAGCCAGATGAGCTAAAAAGCTGGCTTACCCTCAAGAGACCACAGGAGTCTGGCTAGGGACCACTCGAGACCACAGAACAGCTCTTGGTGGTCAACATATCTTCCCCAATTCTATGAAAATCTGCCCTATTTTCAGACTCTCAGACAAAAGGTTCCCACACCTCCTCCCACTGTCAGGGCTAGAGCACAGCCTGGAAGCAAGTTCTGGCTGAGCTCTTGGGAGCCTTAAGGATAAGGGATTGGAGGGCTATTCAGACAGACAGGAAATTGGAATTAGGAGGGAAAACAATGAGAATTTGGAGCCAGAAGACATGGATTCCCATACTGGCTTTGTTCCTTAGCAGCTGCATAGGCTGGACAAACGGCATTAGCTCTTGAGACTCAGCTTTCCCATCTGTAAAATGGAACCTTTGTGAAGCTCAGGGAGGGTAAATAGGAAGAGTCATGCCAAAAAAACTGTGAGTTGAGGTTTGCCCAGGAGATATGGGAGTGGGAGGAGATGGATACGGCAGAGCAGAACTGACCAAGAGCTAACCCAACACCCCTAGAGGTGCCTTATCCAGCCCCCAGGGGCAGGTGAGGGAGGAGGCGTGTCTTAGTGTACCGTGGTTCTTGGGGCTCGTCCTGAGTGAAGCTCTACAAACAAGCTATCCCACAAATCTCAGGATCTGGCCATCTGAACTCCAGACCTCGCTACTGAGCCGTCCTTTCCAGGAACGTTCATAGGCCTCTTATCAGCCCTTCTTGTCCAGATGTTAGATGGGAAATCATCTTTTCCAGATGTGGATGGACAATGCCAAGGGTGTAGCAGTAGAAATTCACAAGTGTTGACCGGGTCTCTCCTGCAACCTTCTGTCTCTGAGCAATTGATGGAAATGATCCAACCTCTGTGCCAAGAGGGCGGTCACATGGGCTAGGGCCCTCCTGGGAGCCACTGATGTGGTGCCCCTTCTGCAGAGGCCTGCAATGTGGATTTCATGGTGCTTGTCTCTGGCCCACAGTTCCATGGCAAAGACGAGGGCAGGAGGAAGTTGCTCAGCCACGAACAGTGCCATGTTCCAAGCACATGCTGAGCACGGGCTATCATCGTGAATGAAACATAGTTCGTAGTCTTAGGCAGACTTTAATCAAACAACTGCATGTAAGTATAAAGCCCCAAAAGGGCATAAATGCAAGGTGGAAGTGCATGCAGCATTCTAGGGCAGTGTAGAACAGGAGTTACCTGGTGGGGGTGGGATTTGGGGAAAGACTCCTTTAAGAGGGTAACATTTGAGTTGTGATCTGAAAGCTGGTAGACGTTATAAGATAAAGGGCTGGGGGTTGGGGGTGAGGGAAAGTGGAGGCCAGAGAGTTCTAGGCTAGGGGAACAGTATGTACAAGTCCAGGAAGGAAAGCATTCACAGGCTGGTGCACACAGCACAAAAGGCTTGAGTTTGGGAGGTGACAGGGGCCAGCTGAACCACCTGGAAAGATGGTGGCTTTGATCCCAAAAGCATTGGGAAGTCACTGAGGAGTTTTAAGAGAATGGCTGACAAGATCAGATTTGTATGGGCAAATAGGCTTGTTAGGGGGCAAAGAGACCCCAAAATAGTCTCTTGCTGTGGTCCAGGTGAAAGACCATGAAGCTTGGTCCTGAGAATGGCAGGGCAGGTTAAGAGGACAGATGTGAGTTGGTTTCTAGACACAGAACTGGCAGGTTTTCAGGAGGTGGGGTGAGGACACAGGAGGAATCAGAGAACTGGCCTTGCAGAGATGAGAGATAGGGTCCTTCAGGAGGTGGAAACCCAGGGGAAGAGAAGCAGGTGCCAGGCGGAGGCAAGCTCATGGGTTCCTGCTCAGAGGTGGCATTTTGCATTATTCAGGAAAATGTAAAGTCGCCTGTGTAAAGTTATTTGCTGAAGTGATGTGTCCCCTGAGGAGCCGGGTCTCTGGAGGGCTGGGACCTGGCTGCCAGCCCAGTGCAGTCCCAGACCCCTGGTGCCCCAGGGAGTTGACCAAATGAAAGGTCCTTCGCGCAGCCAGCAATCCTCACACCCCTGGAAGACAGCTTCTGAAGCGGCAAACCGTTAAGAAGGTGCGCGGTCTGGGGATGGTTTCAGTCAGCGTCTGGGCGTGGAAAGCCAGAGGAGGTCTGAGCCCCTTCCCGGCGGGCACTTGGCGGGGCGGTGGTGTGAGCAGCACTGCGTTGCTCGGGTCGGCGAGGGCGCCCGATGTGCCGCAGGGCTGGGGCTTCGGGGACCACAAGGCCCAGTCCCCCAGTGCGCGAGGGGCCTGTGACCCAGACGCCGCCTCCCCCTCGCCCCGGCCGCGCTGCGTGGGAGGAGGCGGCAGCTGCAGCGCGGGCGGAGGGCCGGCGGCCGGCGCGCCCGGCCCGTGGGAAGCGGCGGCATCTGCTCTTTCCACGCTCGTTCCCAGCGGCTCTCTCTGAAACCCAACCCGCCGGCCCGGCCCCGCCGCCGGCGGCCCGTGCCCTCGCCCGCCCCACCCCGGGGATCAGGGGACCGGATCGGGTTGCAGGAGCCCGGCCGCGGTTCCCCGACGCCAGCCCCGCGGCGGCCAGCCGGGCTGTTCATGGGGAGCAGGGGCACTGGAGAGGCCAAGAGCCAGGCCCCCCAAGGCTGCCTTACAAGTGTTCTCCAGCGACCTTGAGACTCTCGGTGGAAAACTGAGCGCAGGGGACTACTTGGCCTGGGGAGAAGTGGGTCCCCCGGGAGAGGGGGAGACATAAAGTCCCCCACTGTATGTCTTCCTGGCCCACTCAGAAGTGGGCTGTGTTGGCCTATGGCTGGGCTCCAAGGTCAGCGGGGGTCAGGGAGATGGTCCCTCAGCTCTGAAAAGTCAGTCTTTCTTTTCCTCTCCAGCCAGATGGCCAGGCCGCCGTCCACTCCCAGCCCCTCCCAGATGCAAGCCAGGAAAAAACGGAGAGGGGTGAGTGTCTCTCTCAGCAGAGCTGCCAGACAAAGGTTACCACCCAGCCAGAGAACTCCCCCCTCCCAGCCAAGCTGCCAATATGCTAGGTTCAAATCCAGACTCTGCCGTAGCTAGAGGGTGGGTAACTTTGGGTAAGGTGCTTAACTATTCTGTGCCTCAGCTTCTCATCCTTGTAACTGAAATAATGATAGTGCCTACCTCAAAGGGTTGTTTTGAAGATGAAGTGGATTAATGTAATATACTCAGAACAAACCTGACACACAATTATTTATGCCAGCCTTTCCTTGAAGGGAAGCCCAGAAGTTTCATTTCTTCTCAGTGTGCTGAGAATGGACGAGGGGATAGAAGGCCCCCCACCTTTGCTCTTGACCATCTTACCCCAACCCTACTCTCCCCCCAGGATGCACTGGGAGCCAGATACCTGGGATCTGGCAGAGCTAACCCTCACTAACCGTGAGGTCCCACCCACCCCCATTTTCTTCATCTGTAAAAGAGGGTCATTTCTGCCCTGCTCTCCTGTTCTGCTACCAGTGTCGTAGGGAGGATTGCGACAGTGCAAATGAGAGGCTTTTGCAGCTGGATAGAGCGTGCCCAGTGCCTCAGGCCTCCGTCAAGTTAGCATCTAAAGGGGTCACTGTGGTGGAGAGGGCCTCCCCAGGGACTGCTGCCTCTCCTCTGAGCGGTTGGTGCTCTGCTGGGTTTTAACCGGTGGTTAAATGTTTTAAGCATCACTCCTGCAGACCCACATGAGACTTCTGGGTTCTCCTCCTAGTTTTGGCCTTCTTTGCTGGGTGGCCTTCTGTGAGCCTCAGTCTCCTCCTCCGTGGAATCAGATGTATCTACCTCACAAAAGCACCGTGAGGGGAAATGTGAGTCAGTGTCCATCGAGGCACATTGGAAACTGATAAGCCCGCAGTAACGCCTGTCTCTGTTTAGATCATCGAGAAACGGCGCCGGGACCGCATCAACAACAGCCTCTCCGAATTGCGGCGCCTGGTCCCCACGGCCTTTGAGAAGCAGGTAGGCGAGGGCAACGCTCATGCAGGAGGAAACACCACATGGGGGGCAAAGGGTTCATTCCGCATGGCGTCCCTTACTGGTCTGTAGCAGCTTCTGGGGGTGCTGTGAGAGCCTTGACTGCTTTCCGTACCGGCCTGGGGCACAGGGAATGAAGGCCGTCTTCCCAAGTGCTGTGCCTTCAGGTCTCTCATCCCATTCAATTGAACCCTCAAAATCATCCGGAAAGGTAGGGTCCTGGTAAGGACACAGCAGCACAGAGAGGTGGAGTCACTGTCGCCAGGTCACACAGCTAGTAAATAGCAGAACAGTACTGGGATGCTGAACAGTGTGATTCTTTTTCTCTTTTTAAAGGTTGAATTATTTATGCATATAGAACGGGGTATAGGCCAGAGATGAGGGGCGTAGGGGTGAGCAGATTCACTGGAGACAGAATGGGGAGCAGAACAGGCAGATGGACTGAAACACACTGCTGAGGGGAGCAGTGGGCAGGTCAGGCGAGGTCTGCTGTGCCATGTGGGTCACCCCCCCGGCTAGGAATCAAACTCATGCTGCAGTGGCTGTGATAGCTTCATGGTGCTGTGATTTAACCCATTGAGGCACCAGGGAGGGCCCAGAACAGTGTGATTCTAAACAACTGATGTGTTCAGAGCTGTTGAGCATGGAGGTTGTATGGGGAGTGAGCACTGGGGACTATGCTTCGGCAGACGAGCTACAGTGGGCAGCCAGGTGACTCAATCAGATCCTCTCCCTCTGCCCTGGCACTGGCAGTGGGTCACGTGCCTTCCTTTATGTGAGAATATTCTGGTTACAGAACCAGATGTGAACTAGACCTGGAAGTGCCCTCCAGGGCCCACATGGAGCGTCTCACCCTTGGGTTTCCCCCTGGAGACCAGGTGATGCCGGAGGCCTAGGAAAACTTTCCCAGGAGATGGAGGTGATAGAGGAAGAGCAAGTGCTTCGGGGGTAAAGAGATGGACTAGGGTTGGGTGTGGCAAATTGACCTCGTATTCCCAGAAGGGCTGGCCTAGGGGGTGGTGGCTAGGCAGGAGGGCCTCCCTGGTGTGGGGTGCACGAAACATGGAGTGGACGAGCCCTGCCATGGCGAGTGTGCAGTGAGGACAGTAAGCCAGTACCCACTGGGGGCAGCATGTGAGGCCAGGTGGTCTCTGTCCACCCCACCCAGAGACCAGGTTGCGAGGAACCACGAGGAATGGTGTCAGGGAGAACTAGGGAGGGAGGTTTCAGGGCAGATGGCCAGCAATGCCCTGGTCAGATGGACCAGACAAGACCTGAAAAGATCTATTCGATTCAGACACAGTGGCCGAGGAGAAGCCCAGGTGCAGACAGTGGTGGAATGAGGGGGAGAGGCAGGGACGGTGTGTGCTGGAGACCTGAGTGGCCAGGTGGGCAGCAGAGCTCACAGGGGCTCAGTCTCTGTCTTCTGTGCACACAGGGCTCCTCGAAGCTAGAGAAAGCCGAGGTCCTGCAGATGACGGTGGACCACCTGAAAATGCTCCACGCCACGGGTGGGACAGGTACCTATGTCCCCTTCTCTCGGGAGTTGTTCTTGCCAGAGATAGTTGGGGGCTTAGCAGCAAAGCAGACATGGCTCCTGCCCCAGGGAATCCACAGTCTGCAGAGGGCTAACGCGGATTCTGGCGGAGCTCGCTCTCACACCTGCCGCCCGGCTTTCGGCATCATTTGCTCTACTTCTGGTGTCTCTGTCTTTCCCAGCTCTTCCTCAAGTTCCTCCTTGCAGTCTACCGCATCCTATTCCTAAGTCCCCTCCTGGGCCGCATTAAACAGAAACATGACTGAGCTCATTCTCGCTGGGACCCCAGTGGGGCGGCAGGAAGGGTCTGCCTGGGGGTTCACTTCAGCCACAGCGGGTTCACTGGCATGCCCCTCTGGCCTGGCCTTCTGGGCTGTCGTTTCCGTGGCACGGCTGGATGGCTGCGTCCCGCTCATCACTGAAGACGGGCTGCGGGACAGAGTGGGCACAGATGTAACTCGTTCCGAGTCACGGATCAAGACTTTAAAGACTGTGGCTTTAAAGACTTCTGGGCGAATTCCAACTTTGTCTCTAGGAAGCCTCGTTGTGTTTCAGTGACCTTGCAGTTCAGAATCCGTAAAAGTGCCACAGACCCGGGCCACGGACTCTTAGTCCTGATCTTAACTTGCTCTTCCCAAAGGGGACAGTTACTGCACAAAGCACCAACTTGCTGCTTCTTGGGCCTTGACCTGCAGCAGTGTCATGGGGGCGAGGGGGTGGGAAGCAAGCAAGTCCCACCCCAGAGATTCTGAGCCAGAGGGCCGGGCTGGAGCTTGATGCCGATGACCTGATGCAGGAGAACTGGTGACCCACAGTTCAGATGTCTGTCTCTGAGCCCCAGCAGGAACGACATCTCACGTCATTTGAATCTGTGAGCCCTCAGGAGGTGTTTTCTCCTAAGGGCTGATAGGAAGACAGAGGACTCTGGCTTAGCGCACCAGCTGTGGATTGGAATCCTCACTGCTAACTCACTTTATGATCTCAAACAAGTGGTTTAACTTCTCTAGCCCTTGGTCTCCAAAACAAGAATGATAGGCTTTTCAGAGAATTAAATTAGATAATGCAAATGAAGTGCTTGGTAAGTACTCTGCAGATGCTAGTTTAAAAAGAACAGTGAATGCTGAAAGTGAAGCAAAGCTCAAATTCATGCAGCAAAGCAGAGAACCCGGCGATAAAGCAGAGCCCCCAAGAGGCCTGACTCCACATGTGTCTTCTGCCAAGCTGACCCTCCACGGGGACCAAAGAGAGCATCCCCAGCCTAGTGGCACCTGCCGAGGACCAGTGTGGGGTCCTGCGCTCCAGGTTGCCCGCCACAGTGAGATACACGATAGCAGACTTCATGCATGAAGCATTTCTGTGACTGCTTCATTTCACTCCACCCTCCCCATGCTGCAGCAGTATGTGATGGTCCATCTCTCAGTAACGGAAGCTGAAGCATAGAGATTGAGCCACAATCAGGCAGCACTATTCTTTTTAAGCTGGATTTGCACCTGCTCCACCCCTCCAACGACCACCTGCTTCCTTGCCACGCTGAACTGCCTTCTCCCAAGTCCTCCCAGTGCTGAAGGCTGCTGCCTCCTCCCAGCTTCCTTTCAGCAGGCAGGAGCTGCTCCACATGTGTCTTCTGCCAAGCTGACCCTCCACAGGCATAGCCCTTCCATACCTGGCAAGCATCTACCTAAAGCAAGTTAGCTCGCTCACAGAGTTGCATCTCTGAATCTACCATGAACTTATATTTTATAATGACTTTACAGTTTAATGAGTTCATTTCAACCTCAAAACTCATCCCTCTCTATTCTAGGTAGAGAGGATCATTCTTACTTTGTAGATGGGGAGGCTCAGAGGGTAAGCTGACTTGCCCAAGGCCACACAGACGGTGAGCGAGGGAGGCAGTCCAGAACCCAGTCTGGCCCCAAGCTCGGTGCTTACCCCACCCTGGTCAGCCCTCACCGTGCTTTGCTTTGCAGGATTTTTTGATGCCCGAGCCCTGGCAGTCGACTTCCGGAGCATCGGCTTTCGGGAGTGCCTCACCGAGGTCATCAGGTACCTGGGCGTCCTGGAAGGGCCCGGCAGCCGTGCAGACCCAGTCCGGATTCGCCTTCTCTCCCACCTGAACAGCTACGCAGCAGAGATGGAACCTTCGCCCGCAGCCGCTGGTCCCCTGGCCTTCCCTGCCTGGCCCTGGTCCTTCTTCCACAGCTGTCCAGGGCTGTCAACCCCAAGCAGCCAGCTTGCCATCCTCGGAAGAGTGCCCGGCCCCGTCCTGCCGGGTGTCCCCTCCCTTGCTTACCCCATCCCGGCCTTCCGAACCACTCCCATGCGCAGAGCCGCTGGGGCCATCCTGCCGGCCAGGAGGAGTTTGCTGCCCAGCCGAGGGGCACCTGCAGCCCGGAGGGCCCGCCCCCTGGAGAGGCTGGCTGCGCCCTTGGCCCTGGCCTCAAGCAGCAGGGCAGCCCGGAGCAGCCACGTGGCACCGCTCCTGCGGTCTCCTTCCCCCACACCTCCTGGCATGGCGGGATCCCCTGCTTATGCGGTGGCTCCTGCCTCTAGGTCCTCTTCTCCAGGGCCACCGGGGAGGCCAGCGGGGGCTGTGTGCTGCCACTCCTGGGTCTCTGAAATCACCGAAGTCGGGGCTTTCTGAGCTGGTTTTCCTCCCAGGAGTGAGGAGAGTCCTTTTCCCAGGAGCTCTCAAAATGGCGCTGCCTTTTCTGCTCTGCTTCCTGGACTAGCTTCTAGCCGAAGGCATCTTCACCCACCAGAGGCCTGTTCCTCCTTTGGCCCATCAACCCTCCTCACTGCTTGTCCTGCTTGTCCAGCCAGCTCTCACAGAGCTGTGCTGATCTCAGAAGCTTGGTCTGGTTTCTGACCTGGATGGATGAGTCCAGGGAGAGCCCCTAAGGGCTAAGGGCCATGCCCATTGTGGAGCAGCAGGCTGAATCTCAGCTCTGGGAACAAAGCTCCAACCTGAAAGCACAATGACCTGAGGCAGGCTGCTTTCCTCCAGACGGGCTAGAACCAGAATGTAGTGTCTGCCTGCTCCCTAAAACTGGTAACTGAGCAGGGGCCACAAAGCCGTCTCTTGGGAACGGTGTCTGGCCCTGCCTGTTTGTCTGGCCAACCCCACTGCAGCTGCACAGGCCCCATTGCAGCCAGGCAAGCCCACTGTCCACGATGGTCAAGGTCTGGGGACTGGAGTCCCAGCAGGGCCTTCTCCCATCACCTTCCCAGCTGCAGACACTCACCCTCCAGTTGACTGACAGCTCCCTGTGCACAGCTGGGAGGTCTCCAGGCAGCATAAATGCTCAGAGACAGGGCGTCCTCACCACCAGGCCTCGACAGTGCCCCCAGACGGGAGCCAGGACTGAGTGTCTGAGGATCCAGCGCCCTGCCTCTCGCGGGCGTGAGGTCCTCGCTGGCGCATGGCGTGAGGGCACGTTCCCACATGATGGGGCCCAGAGAGGAATCCTCTGGGGATTCAGCACCAGACGTTTGGATGCCTGGTTTGCATCCAGCTCACGGAGCACAGACGGCTGGAATGGCCAAGGGCTGTCAGGCCAGACAAAAATAACTACAAGGAGGGGCAAGAGGAAGGACAGTCAGAGGCGGCTAGGCCCTTCAAGGTCACACAGTGGGTGGAGGGCCTGAGATCCTGCTCACCCAGGATTCCACACAGCTGGCTCTGCTCAGAGGTCATTTCATCAGCCAGCTCCAACTGGGCCACTTCTGCCCCCCCCCCCCAGAGGGAACAGATGGCAGCCACTGCTCCCAGCGGGGCCACAGAGACTGGAAGAGAGGGCCAGACCTGGGACTGGCATTCAGCTCGACCAGTGTCACCAGACCAGTTGTTGAGATGTAGAAACACTACGGTGGTAAATGTCATCGGTAAATAACGGGGCTCCTGGGTGCCCCCACCATGTTTTCCCCCAGGACCCTGTGATCTGGCTGATATCCCAAGGCCACACATCTTCTGGCTGGCAGTTCTTGGCCATTTATTCTACACCTGTTGTTAAATACTTCAAATATCACCCCTGGGGAGATTCTCCCCCAACTCTTTGATGGAACTACCCCCAGTGGCTGAATTGAGGCACATTCATGAACTCAAAGGTGGAGTTTGCAGAAACCCTGGGGGAAAAGGGTCCTTTCAGAGAAGTGGGTAAGAGAGCAGAGGTCACTTAGGTGACCCAGAAAGCTCTTTTGAAAGTCCTCTCTTGGAGGCATAAAGAGCTGAAGTAGTTCTTTCACTCCACGGTGTGAGTCAGCTTGCTCAGTGTCCTCCTGGACCATCTGAGGAGCTCAGCAGTGAGGAGAGAGGGCATCCCCTCAGGAAGTGGGTCACCAGCCAGCACAGCCCCTGAGGGAGACAGAAGGTGGGGGGTGGAGGGGGGCAGGGCGCCTGGCGGGTTCCCAGGAGCTGGGAGAGGGGGACTGAGGGAGGTTGCAGAGACTGAGATCAGCTTCACCTTCCTCAAAAAAGAGCAGAAAACCTGCGTCCTCCTTCTTCTCTGCCGCCTCCTCGTCTTCCTCTTCCCCATCCTTCACCTCCTCCCTCCCCCTCTTCTTACCTGCCTCAGGTGGCAGCTTGCTGTTCCCAGAGACTGGTCAGAGCTGCAGTGGGCCACTCCCTGGCCTTTCACAGGGGGGCTGTGGAAGCACAGTTCCATGTCTCAAGTCCCCAACTCCAAAAGAACTTGTTGACACCACTGAGTGAGGTGGAAATGGCCCAGAACTTTCAGTATATTTGTTGATCTTGGGTTATCCTCCCAGAAATATGGGCGGTGGGGGCGGGGTGAAGGTAACTCTATGTATTTGTTTCCTCAGTAGAGGACTTGTTTATATTCCCAGGCCTCTCTGGGGCCCCTGACTCCCACCCCATGCTGGGGTTGTCGCAGACAGCCAATAAAGCTTTTTTTTTTTTAGTTCTGGAAACCTTCAAGAGATTCTACTTCTTAGCGATCTCTGGAGTCCGCCCACTTCTCGCTGAGTCCACAGCTATCCCCTAGTTTGGCTCATCATCTCCCCCAGTCCCTGCTCTCACGTCTAAGGGTTACCTGGAACCTCTATTTCTGTCTAAACAGCAACCAGAGAGGGCCTGAAACCTACGAATCATGTCAGGTTACCTCTAGTCTCAAACCCTTAGTTACCCTATTATCCTAAAAAAAAATTCAAGCTCTCTGCACATCAGAGACCTCACGTCAAGTCTCGGTTTCTGCCGGAGAAATCTTAGGTCTGTAATTCTGCCACCCTGGTCTGCCTCCAAGCCATCCCCAGGACTTCACATGTGCAGGTCCCTCTGCTCAGAATGCCTTTCCAACCTTTTGCACGACTGAACCCTTCCCACCGTCAGGCCGTGGCTGAAAAGCCACCTCCTCAGAGAGGCCCTCCCTGATTACAGTATGGAATAATCCATCTCAAAGTCCCCAATTCATTCTCCATAAGGAACTTGCCATTGCACACCGGCTTGTGTCTGCTTGTTGGTATCTCCCCTACCAGGATGTAAGCTTCCTGAGGCTAAGAACCATGCCTGGGCTGCTCTTCACCCTCCACTCAGTGCCAAACACCGTGCCTGGCTCATAGTCAGTGTTCAGTAAACATTTGTGGAATAAGTGATCTGGGACAGCGAGGAATCTCCCGGACACATGGTGCTGGATGGCATAGGCGCCTCTAAGGATGAACACCCCGCTGACTGGCGTTGGGGTAGGCGTGAGAGCAAAGTGAGAGCAGGGCCAGGGGACAGCAAGTTCTAGCAAATGACCCAGAAGCTCAGGCCAAAGAAAAGTGGAGTGTGTTGGCTCCGGAGGGCACCGACTGCTGAGAGTGGCAGGCTGTCCTTGCCAGCAGTATTGTTCTCCACTCTTGGTCTGGCTCACAATAAATCCAACAAACATTCGCAGCGGTCCCCTCTGTGCCAGGCCTGGCTTGGCAAAGCCAGGGGTAACAAGGGCAGCGATGCCCTGAGGGCTTGTACCTCTGCCTCAGTGACAGTTCGGGGAGTGGAGAGTGCTCTGTTGAGAAGGCCGAGGCGACACAGAGTGGAGCAGGTGCTGTTGACTGGGGCAGCATGGAGAAGGAGGAAGCCTTCCTGGAGGAGGAGGCGGGATTCTACTGTTCTAACAACAGAGAGGATCTTCTGAGCAAAGGTGACCTCAGCAAGGGGCCTCTAAAAGCAGACCCTGAGTTAGCACAGGCCCTCAGTGACAGGGCCAAAGCAGGCTGGTCTGGGCACTGCAGCCAGGCTTCCTAGCTCAGGCCCCGACTCCTTCACTTAACCAGAGCTGTGACTTTGAGCAAGATACTTAACACCCCTGCACCCCAGCACTCTCATCTATAAAACAAATGATGCCATAATTGGTACCAACACCCTGCTAAATGCTTTTGTGGGTGTGCTTCACCCATCAGGCTGAGGTGATGATACCCAAGGTTAGGTGAGGATGGAGTGGGAGAAGACGTGTGAGCCTCGCAGGGCCTGGGCCACCTGAGGGCTCGGTCAATCTCAATCATTGTGTTCATGGAAAGAGACTGGACCCAGACTGCAAAAGGCCTGAGTGTTTGGATGTCAGCAAGGCAATGACAGACACAGAAGGGTTGGCCAGGAGAGGGCAAGATCAGCTCTTTAAGAAACCCATGCTTGGGGTGGTGTGGATAACTGACTTAGCGGAGGAAAATGTAGACTCAATTCCACCTATCCACTGGGGACACCTACTTGGCTTTCTAAAAACACCAGTGCTCAGACCCCAGAGATAGAGTCTAATGTGTCTGTGTTGGGTAGCCCAGAAAGATTAGAATTTCTGTCCTAGTAGAGGTAAATTTCCATTCAGTAAATGAACTGGACTCCAACTTGTGCACCTGAGAAGGGTTGATGTTTCTTGAAGCCAAGCAGAAATTAATTTCAACCAAGGCTTCTCTGTCCTCCTACCCCTGACTCATAGTAGTTGCTTAAGAAACTGTGCCAAAAGTTTTGAGGATTTGGACCTCCCTGGTGGCACAGGGGTTAAGCCCAGCCATGCAGCCTGAGTTCAGTCCAGCCAGGGAGCTGACCCCTATGGTGCAGCAGACCTCTGCTGTCTCACCTGCTGCTCCCCTCAGCAGTGTACTTCTTGGATCTGCCTATTCTGCTCCCCACTCTGTCTCTGGTGAAGCCTCTCAATCCCCATACCTCTGACCTGCAACCCAGTTCTGGTATACATAAATAAATAAATCTTTAAAAAAAAAGATTTTAAATAAATCTTTTAAAAAGAAGGTAGGAAAACTGGAGGAAGCTGATCTCACTGATAACAGCAAACACTTGCAGTCCTTGACCTCCATGACCTCGTGTAATCCTCACCTTGCCCTGTGAATTATTATCTCCAGTGTACAGAAGATGACCTTGAGTAAAAGTGCCCCAAACCTGCAACACTAGTAAATGACCTAGTCAACATGAAAACGCGGTTCTGTTTGAGTCCATCTTCACCAGCACAACGCGTCCTTCCAGGCTGCCAATTTTGATACAAACCCAGCATGTTCAATGCCTGCAAGACTGGGGGGTTGAACTCTATTGAGAACAACTCAGCCAGTCTCCTCTCCCCTGTGCTGGGAAGTGGGGGGCTCAGCTGCTGACCCATAGGGCCAGCAGTCACTCGCTGGATAAAAGAAGCAGCTAATTTGTCTCACATGTAAGAGCCCTCCAAACATTCCAGGTCCTGATCTGGAACGTTGTATTCTTTCTGGAATCGATGTAGACTTCCTCGGTCCCAGCTTCTTTTATCTTGATCCCCTGCCATCCCGGACGGCACTGTGCCTGCGTGGTTGAAGCTGGGTCTCCCTAGGGTCCAGCAGGCAGAGGGGAAAGAGCTTGTTAGAGACATGATCATAGTCTTAAAGAAGTAGCACCTCTGTCCACTCAGAGGTGAGAACCTAGGCAGTCAGCCAAGCCAACGGTTTGGAAATGCTTCTCTTGCTCCGGTCTCTGAAATAAGTGTGAATGGACACTGGCAGATAGTTTCTCTCACGTCTCTTTTAGCTACCAGCCTGGGAGGTTGAGAGGAATGGGGGCGAAGGCCACGGCAAGCTACCAGCTGCCAGTGAGCCGTGACTCTGTGTGTGCGTGGGGTGTGCATGTGTGTGTGTACATGTGCTTGTAAGTAAATGAACTAGAGGTCGATTTCTTTTGAGAACCAGGCAGAGGGCCTTCACCTACCACCCTGATCCCACAGCAATAAGCTGGGCCCCCCAGTGGAGTTCTATCTGCGAAGAGTCGCTGTCTGGGAAGAAGTCTCCCCAGCTGGGGAAAGCCAGGGAGCAACTTGAACAGTATCTAGAGGGAAGTGGGCCTCCTGGTGGCATGGGGGTTAAAAACAGTGCTGTCACTGTGATAACAGTGATATTGTTATAACAGAGGCAATAACAGTGCTTATTGCCAGCCACTAAAGCACAAGTTCGATCCCCAGCAAGGGAGGTGATCCACGTGGTGCAGCAGACCTCTCCTGTTCCTCCCCACCTCCCTGCCCCACTGCTCCCCTCAGCAGTGTATTTTGGTCAGTCTGTCTGTTCTGCTCCCCACCCTGTCTCTGGTGAATCTTCTCCCATGCCACCTCTGGCCTGCACTCCAGTTCTTGTATGCATAAATACATAAATCTTTTAAAAATTAAAATGGAGATCTCGTATGATCCAGCAATACCTCTGCTTGAAATTGACCCCCAAATTAGGTGCTTCTGTGTTCAAAGCAGCACTGTCCACAATTGTCAAGTCCTGGAACCAGCAATGAGTCCATTGAACAAGAACTAGATAATGAATTTGAGGGATATATACTCAGCGGAATACTACTCAGCTATTTATAAAGCTACTTATTCAGCTATTTATGAAATCATGCTTTTAGGGACAAATGGATGGATTTTGAGGTGATTCTGGTAAGAGAAAAAAGTCAGGAACTGAAAGACAGATATCAGATGGTTCCCCTTTTGGGGGAAGTATAAATAACCGATGACCACATACTGGCAAAGCACAGCAAAAATAAGCCTTAGACTCTGTGAAAATATACAGGTTAGGGACCGCCCTGGTGGCACAGAGGGTTGAAAGGCAGCACTACAAAGCCAGCCGCAGCTGCAGCGGCTTCAGTGAGTTCGATCCCCACCCAGGGAGGTGACTTACAAGGTCACCTTGTAACAGACCTCTCAAGGCTTCACCTGCTGCTCCCCTCAGCAGTGTACTTTGTCAATCTGCCTGTTCTGCTCCCATCTCTGTCTCTGGTGAATCCTCTCACTGCCCCTGCCCCTCTGGCCTGTACCCCAGTGCTGTGTGCATAAATAAATACACCTCAAAAAAAAAAAGAAAGAAAGAAAATATACAAGCTACCAGAGAGAACAGGGGGAAGACACTGGGCACTGGCAGGGAGGTTTGGTGGAGCATGAGAGTGGCATGTGCACATATGAAGATATGAAAATGTACCCCCACATTGCTAAAGGGCTGACATGTAAGGAGATACATGCTGTGTACCAGGCTTTGTCTGTGGTAGTTGTTACAAAGCCACAGAGAATTCATTTACCAGACAAAACCTACCTCCTGCTCGGTCTACACCTCCTAGAAACAGACTGGGAAACTTGTGGGCTTGACTGCATTCATAATCAGAAACCCCAGCTGGGGTACCCCGGCTTCTCCACCAGGCTGGCTTTTATGATAGCGGCACTGTTACTTGGCCTCACTGTACCTACCCTCACTCCCTGCTTTCTGTCATTCTCAAAGGTGAGCCTGCTTCACTCCTCACACCAGAATATGGAGCTCTGGGTGACCTTGAGAACAGTATTATTTTCTAAAGTCAGCAGTAGGGAGGTATAATTTGCATTATAATTACAATAAGATGCACCAACCTTAAAGCACGATCCCTATCCGATGAGTCTTGACAATGTATGCACGCAGGTAATCACCATAATTGCAAT